AAATTCAAGATTACAAGTAAATCGTACGTAAGTACAACTTATTAAGCTCCATGTTTAAATTCGTGTAAATAACTATAGATAAATATAACTAAATACATGATAAACTTCTCATTTTAAATATAAAATATAAAATATTTAGGATATTTATCGAGTTCTAACAAAATACTTAGTTATTATCTTTATAAAAAATTATATTATTAAATCAAAAATAAATTTACTTCATTATTAAATCTAAATTAAATTATAATAAAATGAGAACGTTTAAATTTTTTTAGTTTTTATGATATTCAAATTTGTATTTTATTAAAAAAAACATTAGTGTTTGCTCAAAACCACATAAAACTTTATTATAACATCAACAGAGACCAAAAAGTTAAAACGAAACATTAAAATCGAGATATGTGTCGATGCATTGCGTGAGTACCCTTTTAGTATATACCTATACATATACATGTACACATATATATACAGACTTATCTTTCTATTCCTATCCTTAATAATTAAATCTGGTGGCATAACCTAATTAGAATGGCTTTAGTCAAATAAAATTTAGTTCGTAGATTAAGACACTAGACCATGGTTTTAGTTGTCATTTCATTTTCCTTTTTGTCGCTTAATATTCCCTTCATTAATTAGGACCTACCCCTAATTCCTAAATATACCAATTTAGAATTAACTAAAAAAAGATAAAAAAATATTCGACACACACACACACACACATATATATATATATATATATATAGGTGGAGGTTCAAACAAGAACACCTTCATTTTACGAGAATGCGAGAACATTTTTAGCACATGTGATAATATGCGTGAGGGGACCATGTGACGTGCGGACGACGTGTTCTATGACTTAGGTCGCGTCAAAAATTGTCTGCGTCTATGATTTAGCATCACATGTGATGGTCTTGATGGATTATAGTATCATATTAACAACACTCTTATCACATGTGATAATATTTGTGATGAGGCTTAGTGGTGTAAGGGCGACTTGGCCCGCAACCAAGATCGCGTCAAAAACCGCCCGCGTCTCTGATTTAGTATCACATGTGATGGAATAATAGCATCACTTGTATATCATATGTGATGGAATAATAGTATCACATGTGATTGTCTATAGTAAAAAGATGTTCTCGCGTTCTCGTAAAATGAAAGTGTTCTCGTTTGAACCCTTCTTTATATATATATATATATATATATATATATGGGCACGTTCAAATGAAAACCGTCCATTTCTAAGAAACCGTGTAAACCAATTTCGATCAATAGGAAAATTCTATTTTTTTTTCTAATTAAATTTAATCAATAAGGGTATTTGGTCATTTACAATATTTTCTATTAAATGTGAAAGTTATTAATAAATCTTAATTAAGGAAACGTAATAAAGGATATTGTATAAATGGTAACATTTAAATATTTAATTATATTATAATATTAAAAACTTGAATTTGATATATTGTTATGAAATTGAATCTGCAAACGGATCTTGAAGATTGAATTGCAATATGGAATGAAATCGTAAATTATGGTTCAAATTAAAAATATAATGTAATGAAACAGGTTTCATGAAGATGAAACTGAGTCATGTTGTAATTGATTCATGAGTAATATGAAATCATTTCGTGGTGAACCATGTTTCAGTGATGGTGTAGTTGATCCGTTTAGTAGAAAAAATGGAACATGAAACGGGTGCATAATTTATTTGGTTCGTCATGAAATAATTGCATGATGAAATAGGTACATGATAAATCTGTTTCGGGATCTTGAAGATTGTAATCTGCTCCAATATCTTGAAGAATGTAAGGAGTAAAGGAAAGAATGCATCAAATCATGAGTGAAATAAAAAAATTAATTTATATGAAACATGTTTCATGAAGGTGAAACTGGTTCATGACGTAATTGAACAATGAGTGGTGAACTGCTTTCATGGTGAAACCCGTTTCAGTGACGGTGTAGGTGATCCATTCAGAAGATGAAATGAAAAATGAAACGGGTGCATAATGTAAGCGGTTTGTCATGAAATAATTGCAAGATGGAAAATAAATTAGTTTCATTAATAATAATAAATGTTAATGTAAAAATAATAAATTACTTTACAAAAAATAGATTAGTTTCATTAATAATATGATATACATGATATGGTTTCCTTGAATAAATGAATATTTGGTTTTACCCTTTTACCCTTATTGGTATTATAAAATGTATTTTCAATTTTTTTTATTTTTAATTTCCTTAAATAACTTTGATTAATCTTAACCATTGATCAAGAAAATGGTTGGTTGAGATTGGCTTACATTGTTTACACAAATAGAGGCGGTTTTTATTTGATCGTTCATATACATATACATATACATATACATACATACATACATACATACATACATACATACATACATATATATATATATATATGGGAGCTTTCAAATAAAAATCACCCTCATTTGTAAAAACCGTGAAAACCACCTTCATACGTCGATTTCATTGTTTAATCTTATGAAATTTTTTCATGAAATTGTTTAATCTTTTGAAATTGTTTCATATAATATATTTTTTTTGATGAATTTGTTTCATATATAATTATGAAATTGTTTCATATAATATTTAATGAAATTTTAATGATATTGTTTCATGTATTTCTCTAAAATTAAAATAATGAACATGATAATATCCATGATTAACACCCTTCACAATAAAAATGGTTAATCAACCTCTCATAATTACAAAAAAGTGAAAAAATGAAAAATTATGATTGGTTGAATGAGGTTTTCACGGTTTTTACAAATTTGGTTGTTTTTATTTCAACGCTCCCCTATATATATATATATATATGAGCGATCAAATGAAAACCACCCTCATTTGTAAAACCGTACAAACCACCCTCATACGTCGATTTCATTGTTTAATGTTATGAAATTTTTTCATGAAATTGTTTCATATAATATTTTTTTTGATGAATTTGTTACATATATGGTTATGAAATTGTTTCATATAATATT